ATGATATTCAACTAAATTATATTAAATTTGGGAAACTGGTTGCATATTTTAGATATTGTAGTTCGTTTACATCAGTTTTTTAGAATTTTTTTTATTGAGTCAGCTTTTATTATCTCATCAACAAATCTAAAATTTTCATATTAACAGAGTTAAATGTAGTAACATATAAAGATAAAAAAGTTTGTATAACAAGTGGTATTTAAAATTGTGGGCTGAGTTAAAAAGTGAAACAATTATTTTCAATTTGCATGATAAGCCAATGTTCAGTAATGGAATGTGCACAGAACAACATAAAAAGACTTGAAATCTTGTTGCGATGCTACTAGTTTTTTTTTTTTATTTTATTTTAATTCAGTTGCTTAATCTTTCTAAATCCTGGGCTCCTAATTAACAGAATGGAGATTTAAAGTTCTATTTTTCAAGCCTACCACATAAGGTTTTTTTAATGATCAAATGAGACAATACTTCAGAAGATATCTGTCAAATGCAAGCATTAGTTGTTATTATTCAAGATAATGTAGGCAAAGTTGTCTAAAACTATTGACACTATTTATTATTCCTTTCATTTCAGGCAGAGATATATTCTACTTGACTTCCATTTGAATGTCAATTGAGTAGAGTTGAAGGTGCTGATTGAAATATAATGGAAAAACTATTCTCAGTAATCATCTTAGATATAAGTTACAATGTACCAGAAGACAATTAGGGTATACAAAAGAGAAAATAATTAGTAGAATTAGATTACACTAAATAGTAGTTTCCAGTTATAACTCTTATCTTGAAAAAAGCCACATATCATAACCACATGTCCATAATAATTACTTTAGCAAACAAACATATAAAAGTTACTTTACACGGATTAGTATATACCTACCGACTCCAGACATTTCAGGAACACTGGCAGTGTATAAGTCTTTCGTAAATTTTGGCTCATTGTCATTGATATCATGGATTTTAATGATAAATTCAGATTCTGGTTCCACCTGCCGCCCGGTCTTTCTGTCTATAGCCTTGGCACGAAGAATGTACAGGGATTTTTCTTCTCTGTCTAATTTCTTTGCAGCATGAATGTCTCCTGTATTTTCGTCTATAACGAACAGACTACCAGCCCCGTCTCCTGTTAATATGTATTTTAAATTCCCATCTCCTTTATCTTGGTCTGTGTGAAGCTTTAGAGAGGTAGAAAAGAAGAGTTCTGTAAATACAT